GCATGATGGGAAGTCACTCTTCACAGCATCAGCTCAAGAGGCCAGGCCAAGCAGGAAGCCACCCACAAATCCACTTGAAACCACAATGTTTTTCTTCACAAATTCAGTGGCCTGAAAAACATGGTTAATGAGGTATATCTCCTCCTAACCAACAGAGGGCGCTGCTGCACGCAGAAAACCGCTTCAGAGCTGCTGCGCAAATGAATTATACCACTCCTGTATGGTGTTGAACTGACTTCTGAAGCAAAGGAAATCTATAAAGTCTTAGATTTATTTCTATAATGAAAGTCCTAGTCATTTGAAGGATGCACATTCATTGATACGATTATAAAGGGTCTTTACCTCCTCGATAAACGTGTTGAACTCCGGTGCGGCTTTCTTGGTGTTTTTCTTCAGACGTCTCTTTGCTTTGTTGACGTCTTTCTCCACTTTCTTCCAGTCGACTTGGACGTAGCCGCTGTGATTGGCTATCTGCAAGACAACGAACCCTTTAAAGTCACATTGTGCCACAATAACATGATGAACAGCAAATGGTTTGTTGTGCAGTTGTTGTTTCTGGCCTGCAGCAGCAGAAATCCTCCTCCGACGGCTGTAGCGGCGATCTTCCCCACGCGCTGGAACAGATACCCCACACACCTGCAGACAAACACGCTTCATCACAACTACATTACAGCCAAAGTAAGAGGTTTATTAACTGATCCTGAAGAAGAGTAGGGCTGCGACGATAAATCAATGCAGATTTGATTCGGAGATCCTCCCAATGCATCGCCATTCTCTCTGATTCTGAGCTTATTTTAACAGCAGATGGCGCTCTACTCTAGTTTTTATCCACACACTCAAATGCTGATGAAGAAGAGCTGAAGAGCGCTTGTGTGTTCGGTTGAGTCTGTAATTTCACCTCGGCTCAATGCTTTTATGATGCCAGATTAATGTAAACACAGCCCACTGTCAACACCCTTGTGATTCACTTCAACCTTGAATTTTATGAATGATTATTTTAGGTTCAAGTGTGTGTAAGGATTCGGAAACAAGCAGAGTACGGCTGTTTCTAACCAAGCGGCAACCTTCCGGTCTCTCTCGTGAAACCAACACGGAAGTGACTAAAACTGCAATTCATCGACTGGCCGCTAGAGGCTGGCTGCAAAAGAGAGTCAGTCCCATAGACTCCCCATGTTAAATGCCCAACTTTACATGTTTACAGCCTGGTACATAAAGTGGTTTTGGTCTATATAGCTAATTTTGCCATTCATGACAACTGTGAGGGGGGGGATTTTTTTATAACTCATCCGTTTAAATTATATTAAGCCTTAAAGTTCTGCATAATTAAGGGCGTGGCCACTTGAGTGACAGGTGGATTGCCGCTGCTGTCACCGGCGTCAAGCTACGGCCAGCTCCGCCCACTTTAGGCTTCAAAACCACTCTTCAGAAACCTACGGGTGACGTCACGGACACTACGTCCATGTTTTTATACAGTCTATGTTTCTAAAGCATGCAGCGCCATCTGCTGTTCAAAACTAAGCTCAGAACTGACTCGAGAAAGAATCGGCATGCATTCGGATGATCTCGGAGTCGTTTCTGTATTCGCGATGCACTGATTTATTCCCCAGGCCTAAGGAAGGGTTGTAAGAGCACCAGCCCGCCGCTCCACCCGTCATGATCTGAGTGGCCACGGAGTGTTTCTCTGCGATGGGCCCGGAGCTGCTCCCGAACACAGCGCTCCACCACTGCTGCGTCCGAGCGTGTGCGGTCAGATCCAGCATCTCGTACGCCTCGTCTTCATCGTCCGCTCCTGAACACACGAACAGCTGATCATAGGGATAGTGCGACTAAAATAGGAATACTCCACATGTCTTAATTCGACTTCGAGTGCGTTTACATCCAACAATATTCTGATTTTAACACGGTTAAGACAATACTCTGATTAAGAATCTACCATGTAAACGGAGATTTTTGATTACCTTAATCCGGCTAAAGTCATAGTCTAGTTTTAATGTGAAATAAACATGAATGAACATCTCATGCCTCGTGTAATCTAATCACTCAATCATGTTTCAACCGCGGAAAGACGTCATTAAAACAGCTTGTAAACAGAATGTCACGCAGCATTTCATTTCCCTCAGGCAAGTCATCAGTGTCCAACAGCTCGTTATTTGCTCGAGAAATTAGCATTTTGAGAAATATTAGACTATACACTTATTATATTTTACTTTACCTGTTAGTGATGTCTTAACCATTTAATGTATATTTAAATAAACCTTTTATGAAACAAGTTACGACAGCCACTGTGTAAATGATTATATTTAAACAACAAATAGAAATTGTATAATTTAGAAGTTAATTTAAAAACTGCATTATGTGCAATTTACACGTTTGCATACAATTTTAAGTTGAGTGTTGATTATTATATTTAGAAAAAATAGTAATTAAATTTAAGTTTGTGCTCTGTTGTTAATTGTAATTTTATAGTACTGTAAAAGGGCTCCCTATGGTTCAGAGCATAAGCTGAGGTAGATTTTTATCCTGAGAAAATTAATTATAATTGAATTTATTTAAAGGTGACATATCATGAAAATCTGACTCTTCCAGGTTGTAAGTGCTATAATCAGGTCCCTGGTGCATCTACCAACCAAGGAAACGTGAAAAAGATTAACCCAGTAACTTTGTTTAGGGAAGCCTTTTTCTGCAAGCGTCTGAGAAAACGAGCGCGTCTGATTTCGCTCCCTTGGTGACGTGGCAAAGGGATCTCATTATAATATTACCGCCCCTTAATCTGTAAGTTTACACCCACGGCGCCGTTATTGTGTTTTCGCAAGCGACAACGGTGTACCAGCTCTAATGCCATGGTGAAAGTTTGAGCAAAACATGCTAACTGTTCTGTGTTTGGCTGCACAGACGAGCACAGAACACTGTTTAGAGTCCCAGCCTCAGAGGAGACGACAGAGCAGCGCATTTATTGATGTATTTACTGTATATTGCTGCTGCCACACAGATCTAAAATAAACATGCGATTTATTTCCCAGCTGTTTACCTTCACAGACATAACCCACTGTTTTTGTAACTCGTGTGTGTTTTTAACGTAATCTTGTGTGTGAAAGAGAACTTAGTTTAGTGCTCACATGCTGTGACAGCCGCTTTCTGTGCGTGTGCTTCAGATGTGTGCGCTCAGAAAACCCTATATCAGAAGTTTAAACTCATATGGTTTAAAACGAATGATTTCAGCGCGATAAACATGATAATCAGAACCAAAACAGATGTGTTTAGCAAGTCCGAGCTGTAATGGCGCAGCTCTATTCTGGAAAAGGGGGCGGAGAGCAGCAGCTCATTTGCATTTAAAGAAACAGTCCACTCAAAATACGCATTTTCAAAATGATATAATAAATGATGTGTATTTTGAGCTGAAACTTCACAGACACATTCTGGGGACACCAGAGACTTGTATTACATATTGTAAAAATGGGCATAATATGTCTCCTTTAAAAAAACAGCCATTTGTTCAGTAAACCACTGTTTAATTATAAAAAAAAGCAATGTTATGTTTAGTTTTCCCCCTGCTGTACCGAACCGTGTGATGTTTGTGTAGCGTTACAGCTCTAATCAGATCCCAGAACCAAACCCACATCTCAAGCAAACTGAAGTATTATGTTACATTCATGAAGCATTGCCGTAGTTCATAACACGAATTCCTTTAACTGTATATGGCTGCTATATTTTGACTACAATATTACCCTTATAAAAACTCACAATGCTTGATAAGATGAGTTTAGGTGAAATGTGACCAGGACATGTCAGCCAACAGAACTAACGTTAGTCAGCTGCTGTTTGAAGGAGACACTGACAAAACTGAAGCGAGCTCATTATTCTCCGTTTTTGTGTTTAAGAAAGCAGCAGAATCTACGAGTGTCGCTTCATTTAACGGGCTCTGAGTGACACACGCAGTCCTCGGTGCTGCAGCTGACTTTAGAGCGCAATAACGGCGATAAAGACTTGATTTTATTCTCATAAACGTGACGGTAGACCCGCTCACCTCTGCTGTGTTGTTGTTCCGCCATTTTGGGTGCTGCGTGTGACGTCACGGCGTCAGGTGATGTTGACAGCTGCGAGCGCCGCCTACAGCCACGTCAGTGTTTCAAACATTATACAGTATGTCCGGTTATAATCCTGCGATTTCATATCCATAACACACACAAACACAGATGTGTGTATCTCGTGTGCTTAAACACGCGTTTGAGCTGAAATGTTCGTTCTGAATACAAGCGGTTTGTATTTCTTCATTTGATTCTCATGAAGATTCATGTCTTCATTGCATTTCATAGCAAACGCACAGCACTGAATCAGCGAGCGCGCTTCTTAAAGGAGACGGCTGGCATTAGTAATAAAGACCGCAGTGCATCTGTAACTGTGAGTGATACTGTGCTCAAAGGAACAACAGCGAAAGCATTGGGCCTCAGCTGCACGGCTGTCAGTCCAATTTCCCCATTTTATGAAAACCACGCCTCTTTATTTGCATTTCATAACAACGCAAACGAGCCGCTCGCAGTCCTCTGTTTGAGGGAATCGCGTTTGCGCCGCCGAGCTTTCCCACGCATCGCGTCAAACGCTCGGGCGTTTCTTGTCGCGCACTCGAGCGATCGTTACAGGAAACAAAATTACCGAAAGGACTGGAGCACAACATTTTGGGACGAGGCCAGTGACGCGATCGCGTTCTGCGCAGCGATTGGCTGTCGGGCCCGGGAGGGCGTGGCGACGGCGTGGGTTCGCCTGTGTGACACAATTACAACAACTTTAATCCGCTAGCGAACACAACTTTGAGATTGTTTGAATACGTTCCGCGTTTTTGAGTGTGCAGGGCCGCACGTCACGCATCAACACTGAGCCGCCGCGTCACAGTTTGTTCCTGCAAAACAATGTGAGACGACGCGCCGCTGGAGGGCAGCTCGCTTCGTGACGCGCGCGCGTTCTGATTGGCTGTAGAGCCCGGGAGGGCGTGGCGACGGCGACGGCGTGGGTTCGCCTGTGTGACACAATTACAACAACTTTAATCCGCTAGCGAACACAACTTTGAGATTGTTTGAATACGTTCCGCGTTTTTGAGTGTGCAGGGCCGCACGTCACGCATCAACACTGAGCCGCCGCGTCACAGTTTGTTCCTGCAAAACAATGTGAGACGACGCGCCGCTGGAGGGCAGCTCGCTTCGCACGGGTTCAGACGCTGAGGCGCGTTTCACTGGAGAAAAAGTTCGCGTTTATTGTGGCTTTTGGACGCACGGAGCTCGCCTTCCCTCGATTTCGCGGCGCGATTCCATGAAATCGTGCCGAGTGTCGCTCTCCGTCGCCGCCGCTCGCCGCCTCAGCGCCGCTGGTGATGAGGAGAAGAAAATGGCGGCGGGAAAAGCGAGCGAACCCGAGGAGGACGCGCCGCGGCTGAGCGCGCAGGAGAGCGACGCTCTGGCCCGCGTCGACAGGTCGGAGCCGCGGGCGTCTTTTGGCTGCTTCTTTTCATTGTTTCTGAGTGAGATGTGTGAGTTGATCCCAAACCCCGTGTGTGTGTGTTTCTCTCGTTCGCAGCTCTCTGTTCGGATACCAGCGGCTTCATGAAGATGGCGCCAGCATGAAGGCCCTGCTCGTAAAGGTAAAGATGCGCGTTTAAATCAACGCTTCGCGACGCACACATGTGGTGAAAATGACAGCGAGGGCCAGGGTTTCCGAGCGGCGACGCGTCCTTATTTTCTCCTCAGAGCTGCGCGGCTAATCGTTCAGCTAACGCGCTCGATTTGACGCGGAGCTTAGCCGCGGTTCTGCCCTGCGATTACACGAGCGTCGCGCGGAGGCTCGGGCTCGATTCGCTGGCTTCACAAACACGGGTAAACGCGGCGCGTCCCTAGCGTTAGCCGCGCGTCTGCGTGTGTGTGTTTATTCTGTAGCTTGTTTGTGGACATGCGGGTGTCAGACAGCGCCTCAGATCATTGTCAGATTTAAGGCTTTATATCCCTCGGTGATTGAGGGCTGAGCTGGTCGTCGCGTCAGATCGCGCTCAGGTTTACTCGGAGACGGTGATTTGTGTGCGGGGGTAATGGCTGCTTGGGTCGGCCCAAGATGGCGGGGTGGGGAGGAGTGAGAGCTAGCGCGTTATAATGCAGAAAGAGACGCGAATAACGCTGCAGCTAGCATTGCTTCTGCCTTCTATTCCGGTCTCCTGTGAGAACACCTCCCTGCGTTGTTGTGTTGTTGTGCAGTTCAGCAGCGAGCTGTAGTGAACACTAGAGAGTGGACAAAGACCGAGTGCTGTCTGCAGCTGATTCCAGACTCCTGGTTCAGTTAGAAACCCTGTCGAGTTCACACAGAGCTGGAGCGATGTCTCTATAGACACTTTCTGTCCTTTACGCACAGCCATAGACCTGTATGTATCTGGTGGATTTGATAGATGTAATGCTTGTAGTTCTGCTGTCGTCCTTTATATGGTGTATCTGCTTTTATACACACGACCCCTGACCTCTGGTAATTGGTGTCAGGATTAACACCATTGATGGGATAGTTCACTAAAGCAATAAGCCCCGTGAAGCCGTGGTTTACAGTCATAGACTGTAAAAAAAGATGGACAACGCATCTCCTGTTCCTTCCACTATAGAAAAGTGAAGCCAAAGCATCTCAGTATGGCCGCTGCCATCTTCAGTAAATGACGTCATTTGGAGCCCGAGTCTGCGCAGTATTGATTAGTTTGGAGCCCGAGTCTGCGCAGTAGAGATTCGCTTGGAGCCCGAGTCTGCGCAGTATTGATTCGTTTGGAGGTTTTTATAGCATCAAATTACTAGCTAAAATCAAACTTATCACAAAAATGAACAATTGAACATATATCAGCGTGATAACAACTACCTTAAATGACCAAATCCATCTTTTGGAAAATTGTATTGGAAGTGTAATTTATTTTTTTATTTTGATTCAAGTCCCATTCGTTTACATGGAGAGGGTGGGGTTTATGACCTGTACTGCAGCCAGCCACCAGGGGGCGATCAAAGAGCCCGCAGCTTCACTATTCAGGACGTGTGAGACACTCGTTTACAGTGAATTTATAACAGCTAAGCGGCATTAAGTATGACGTGAAGCGGAGTCTAAAACCCTCTTAGCTGTTATAAATTCACTGTAAACCACGGCTTCACGGGGATTATTGCTTTTATAAAACGGTTATTCCATATACGTAGTAAGGTTTCACAAAATAAAACAGAGCAAATAAAGTGTAATGATATTAATAAAAACAGTATTCTTCCACCAAACAATGTAGCTCCTCAGAAACAGTTGTGGTTGCTACAAAGTGGTTGCCGAGCAACAGACAAACGTAAACAAAGGTGTATGTTACTTTGTAGAGTCATTTACAACAGCTTCGAACGCGGCTCAGCCAATCAGAATCAAGCACTGGAACTCTCCGCTTTATAATAAAAAATACTCTCCTGTGACACTCTTTCATTCACTTCATTTCCAGCGATATCGTCAACTTGATTGCTAGACGATGACATCGCTGAATCAATGATGAACTGACTTTAACTGAAAACTGCGTGTTTACTGTTTTGCATTATTACTCACTAGAAGTGTTTTTGTCTGTATAAGAAGTCAATGTGTTTTTGTTGTCTAGTTCTCGACATTCTTCAAAACATCTTCTATTTTGTGTTGTACAGAAGAAAGCAAGTCATGAAGGTTTGATCGGCATGAGGGCGAGTAAATGGTGTGAGAACGATCATTTTTTTGGTCACAGACGGTGGGAACCGGGTCGATTACCCACCAGCGGCTTGTTTTAACCTAGTTAACAAAATGCAGGTGTATCTCATACTCTTGTGCACTAATTGAAACTAGGGATGCACCGAATGTTCAGCAGACGAAATTATTACTTTGGTATACCTTCATGGTTTTGAAGGTGCTTTATAAATAAATAAACGATTGATTGATTGATTGATTGAAATAACTGTTTTGTGTGTGAATATATAGAAATATGTAATGTATTTCTGTGATGCGCAGCTGTATTTTCAGCATCATTACTCCAGTCTTCAGTGTCACATGATCTTCAGAAATCATTCTAATATGCTGATTTGCTGATTAAAGTGTCCAGTTTAACTTCTTTTTTTAAGCCAATTGCATGCCTTATTGAAGAAGGGGGTCTCAAAAATGGCCAAAAAATATTTACATTTTACTAATTAATTAATTTTAAATTAAATTGTGCTTTGTTGGTATAATATCTGTTTGACTGTTAAAAATGTTCAGTGTTAAATATTTTTAAATTGTTGTTTTGTAATTGATTTTTTTCTTTGAAAAGCAAGACAAAACAGTAAGAAGCACATTTTAGCTATTTAATTTGTGCAATGCTGAATAAATTGGCAAAATACATGGGGAAAAAATGTGAAAACCGTGTTCGGTATTCGGCCTTCAGCCCAGTGTTTCATTTTGTTCGGCTTCAGCCAAGAATCTTCGTTTCGGTGCATCTCTCATTGAAACGCTAGTGTTTATTTGAATAGCTTTTGCTGTAATGTACACATTCTCTCCATCTGTGATATTGGCATAATCTAAACAGTGGACTATTAACTCAACCTCACATTCTGTGTGTTGTTCATGGATGTTGAGGGTTAAAGCGCGATTATTAGATGCTTCGGAGTGACGGTGATGTGAGTCTTCAGCACAAGAGGACCTCGTGTCCTAAACATCGTCTGTGGAGTTCCCGGAGCTGAAGATAGTGTTTGAGTGACAAGGAAATCTGAGCAGGGTAATCACAGACGGGTCGTGATTCTCCTGAGTCCTGGTGAACGATGGTGGTGAAATCGAAACCATATTTCTAGTTTGTTTACTGGAGGTTGAGAGTGACTGACCGGCCGATGATGGGTCAGCCTTGAGCTCGCAGTGCTGTCGTTCACTATTTCAAGATGGATCGCTAGTCTGAAGTGTCTTTGTTTTCCTGGTTTACTGACGTCTTGTGAAATAGTGAATTTCTAATCTTTTCTGCTGAGAATATAATGCAAAAATATTACATGTAAAATGTAATGGTTATCTTAAGACATAAAGGTTTGTGTTTACATGTCACAGTATTCTTCAAGTCTTTGTTTGAGAGTGATGTATGTGTTTCTCTTGTGTAATGTTGAATGTGTTCCTCACACAGGCTGTTCGCTGCTACGAGTCTCTCATCCTGAAAGCTGAAGGAAAAGTGGATCCCGAGTTTTTCTGCCAGCTGGGTCATTTCAACCTCTTACTGGAGGAGTATCCGAAAGGTGCTGAGAAGCTCTTCTGTTCTGATCCACTAACATGACCACAAGCTTCTCCTAACACGCGTGTCTTTGTGTTGCAGCATTATCGGCGTACCAGCGGTACTACAGTTTACAATCAGACTACTGGAAGGTGAGCAGCTGATGAATTCAAACACAAGTGTGTGTGTGAGTGTGTATGTTTGGTTGTTCGTGTATGTGTTTCCTTTAGTGGTCGACCGATATATCATCCGATATTTGGCATTTTTCAAATATCTGCATCGGCCGATAAGAGTTTCTGTTTGGCCGATAATGTTTGAGACTTTTATTTTGACGGCGCTGAGAACGGCACACAGCGCTCACGTTCTCCCTCTTCATCGTTTGCTGTCGTCGTTTAACAGTTCTGTCTAATACAGATAGAAGTCACACAGATTCACACACTTTAAACTCATGATTTCAAACTATTTGCCCACGATCATATTCCTATCATTTTCACTGTGTGCTGCACGTAAAATGAGTTCGACCTTGGCTTCAGTTGAAAAAACAACATGATTCCCGATGCACACAAACTCCCCAGATACTGAGTGCTCTGTTGCTTACAGTGTTTACTTCCTTATTTATATATGTTTAAACATTTCTTTATTTGTGAAAAATACTGTTATAGGATTACAGAATCAAGCAGTTGTCATCTATAAGTATAAGTATGTTTATTGTTAGTGCTGTCAAATGAAAGTGAAGTGAAAGTGAAGTGACATGTGGCCAAGTATGGTGACCCATACTCGGAATTAGTGCTCTGCATTTATCCCATCCTAAGTGCACACACACAGCAGTGAACACACACACATCGTGAACACACACCCGGAGCAGTGGGCAGCCATTTATGCTGCGGCGCCTGGGGAGCAGTTGGGGGTTCAGTGCCTTGCTCAAGGGCACCTCAGTCGTGGTATTGAAGGTGGAAGAGAGCGCTGTACATTCACCCCCCCCCCCTACAATCCCTGCCGGTACGAGACTCGAACCCACAACCTTTGGGTTACGAGTCCGACTCTCTAACCATTAGGCCACGACTTCCCACACACACACAATGATTACAATCACAAGTACGATTACAACGATTAATCGTATCCAAAATAAAAGTTTTTGTTTACATAATATGTGTGTGTACTGTGTATATTTATAGTATATATAAATACACACACATGCATGTATATATTTAAGAAAAATTTTACGTTTATATATTAAATATAATTATACATAATATAAATTTTATGACTATAAATATATGCATGTAAAAATTTTCAAAATATATGCTGTAGTGAGTGAGTGTGTGTGTGTGTGTGCGCGAGAGTGCGTGCGAGAGTGCGTGTGCGTGCATGTGCTTGCGAGAGTGCGCGTGCGTGAGTGAGCGCGTGTGCAAGTGTGTGTGTGCGAGCGTGTGCGAGTGTGCGTGTGCGAGTGTGTGCGTGTGTACGAGTGTGTGTGTACGAGTGTGTGTGTGTGTACGAGAGTGTGTGTGTGAGAGAGTGTGGTGTGTGAGAGTGTGTGTGTGAGTGTGAGAGTGAGTGAGTGTGTGTGAGAGTGAGTGAGTGCGTGCGTGTGAGAGTGAGTGTGTGTGAGAGTGAGTGAGTGTGTCTGGTGTGAGAGTGAGTGAGTGAGTGAGTGAGTGTGTGTGTGCGAGAGTGCGCGTGCGTGCGAGAGTGTGCGTGAGTGAGTGAGTGAGTGCGAGCGTGTGTGTACGAGTGTGTGTGTGTGTGTGTGCGAGTGTGTGTTAGGGCTGTGTATCACCAGCAAAGTCATGATACGTATCACGATGCAGAGGCCACGATACGATACGTATCACGATACATGACTGCACTGAATTTCACCTCAGCAGAATTTAGTAAAACAGCTGTTTATTAAACACTGCATACTATAGGGCCATTTCTAACTATAGGCAGAGCAGGCAGTTGACCACGTTATAAAGGGCCTCCATAACTGTACCACAGTAGGCTACAATATAAGTAATGGCGTATGTTTCATGTTTACATTTGGCACTCTCCACCAGGTACAATATTCTGATTGTTTGCATCTTGATTTTAGGCCCATAAATAATAATGTATTAGTTCTATTGTAATGTACTCATTCTAATATATTAAAAATCATCTTTACATTGCTGGTAGGTTATCATTGCACAAATGAACACTCTCTACGTTTAAAAAAATAAAAATAAAAATTAGAAGCATTCTAAACTAATGTGCTGTCTTCACTGTAGCTCACAGCACATTCAGCAACACAGAAACTTCTCAGCGCTGCCCTGCAATTTGATCAATAAAATAGCTTAATCGCTGAAGAGCTACATTA